CTTGTTTTCATTCAATAGGACCTGGGCAGGCTTGTCCATATAGTTCCACTGGTTGGGTAAAAAGGCTTTGGAGAGTCATTTATTTTTTTCAAAAACTCTTCAGTATTTATTAACATTTTGAAAAATATGATGGTCAAAAACTGTTTCCCTAAAAGAAACTATATATTTTATTATAAAATACAGCAGGTCTTTCATCTTGACTTTAAAAAGAAATATCTCTATCTATGCTTGGACAATGAGAAGTCATCATTGGTGCCTAAAGAAGCAGAGATTTCAGACCGGCTTGCTCAGTCTTAAATCACTGGTTATGATGGGCATTTACAGGCCTGAATAAATATTTGTAGGGAGGAGTGGAGGGAGAGTACGCACGCACGGTGTTCCTTCCGACCTATGCTCTCAGTGCTAATGGAAAGTGCTGCCGGTTTTCCCCTCTGCTGTGTTCCAAGGTGATCTCCATACAGGACAGATGAGTCAGTGCACTGAGTCACTCCGTCACAATGCAGCCCTGGAGCTCCCTCCCCCTGGTTTCAAATAGTAGGGCTCTGGTCAGGAGGACTGCCCCAGCTTCTGTAGAGGAATGATCCAGAACACTAGATCTAAATGTGGATTACATTTTAGGAGCTGTGATCACCTGTGCTTCTCATTCACAGTGAACTGATTTGCATGTGGTCCATGTTCACACGGACAATCCTATTGTAAGTCTTATTATCTTAAGCTCCTTAGAGATCTCATCACAGTGTATGTCCCCATGAAACCTATATGTCCAAATCCTAACTGGAAACACTCAGAACGGGGCTTTATTTGGAAACAGATATATGTTAAATGAGGTAGATAGATGGTGCCTCATCCATTGTGACTTATGATTTTAAAGCTGGGATGGGGAGAGTCAGGTCACAGAGCCACACACCAATGGGAGATGACATGAAGATAAAGCTGGGGACCTGGATGATGTTCCCACAAGCCAAGGGATGTTGTTCATTCTCACAACCTTCAGCAGGCACTCATCCTGCAAGCACCTTAATCTGAGGCCTTGAGCTTCCGAAACCATAAGCTCACCGATTTCTTCTGAAGCCTGCAGTCTGTAGACTTTGCTGCACCTTTACATCAGCCCTAGCAACTAAGTCACAGCACGTGTCTGTCTGTGTGCAAATAAATTCTAGTGCAAGCCCACCACCCCCACGCCTGACTTTTGCCCTCACAAAGTAAAGATGCTAATGTGCTGTAGCCTTCAGGGAGATGCTTAAGGAAGTGTTGACAAAGGAACCATTACTATAGTATGGCCATGACCCACCTCAGAAGCTTCTCATTAGAATGGAAAGACATAGATATCTTAGTGTACTGCTTTACCAGTGTGTGAATGAGGCCCAATAAACAGAATCATCCGTGGCTCTTCCAGCAAATGAATAAGGTAATTTTGGTTCCAATTCACTACATGCTTTAATACCAATATATTTTCTTCGATGGGCAAGTCAGTGACCAATGAAAAGGCCCTAAAGATGGCTTGAATAATCATCAGTCAATGAGCTGGATGTCATTCCTTGCAAGGTGCATGCTGCAATAAGACGCAAATGGCTTGGAGGACTGAAGGCCTTTGCTTCCACAGCCCTGTCTGTGGAGAAGGCCTGTTGCTGCAGCTGCCCAACTTCAGGTAGGGTTTTACTTGTCACACCTCAAAATCACATCAATTTACAACCTTGTATGTTGGGCAAAACTCTAAAATTGTGTCATTATAGTAATGTGATTTTAGGGTAGCTTCACACAGCTAATATTAGCATATTTTAGGTTACAGTTATCACTTGTCATAAATCTCCATCAAAAATGACAAATGGGATCTATAAGCTTTTTCCTTATCATGTAGAACACCTTCTGTCACCATCAGTGGTTTCTACATCCCATGCTTGTGGCTCTCTCTGTAGCATATTTTACAAGGAGGAAAGCTTACTAGATTTCTTAATATTTGTACCCAGGGAAATTAATTGGTTCATTGGACAAAGCAAGGCTGTGCTATTACATAATGGTGGAATTAGAGCAATGCAAAGGACCATCAAACATATGGAGTGCTTTTTCTCTTTTCCTTGACATGCTGCAGAGCCTCCCATTGTCCTCTTCTGATTTAACAGCTGGCTAGTTTGCAAAACTACTCACTCAATATTTAGGCTGTTGAATAAGCTGTAATGACCATGAATACGAATATACTGGTCATTTAAAAAAAGAACCTGTCTGATGTTAGCTTTCTGTCATGATGAAAGAAACTGGTTCAAAGGGGAAAAAGTGAATTCAAGACCACCCTGAGCCACTATGCCAAAAAAAAAAAATGGCCAGTTGGTGGTGGCACACACCTTCAATCCCAGCACTTGGCAGGCAGATCTCTGTGAGTTCCAGACCAGCCTGGTCTACAAGAGCTAACCAAAAAAAAAAAAAATGGCCAGTTGGTGGTGGCACACACCTTTAATCCCAGCACTTGGCAGGCAGTTCCAGACCAGCCTGGTCTACAAGAGCTAGTTCCAGGACAGCCTCCAAAGCCACAGAGAAACCCTGCCTCAAAATAAAAAAAGATGAAAGGAAGGAAGGAAGGAAAAAAGGAAAGAAATGGAAAAGAAAAACATAAAAAACCCAAGAACTAGGCAGAGGCAGAGAATTTAACTAGGAAGCCCAAGGCCCTGGGTTCAGTCCTTAGCAGTGTAAGAGTAAATAAATTCAGAAACAAATAACAAACAGATATAAAAAATCGCAAATAAATATTTATATTAACTAAGCACCTACTATGTGCCCCACAACTTTGCCCAAAAGTTGAAGACGTGTCAAAATAGCACCCCAATTAGCTAAAAATACCATCTAATTATGATTAAATATACTAAACCAGTTCACACTTAATAGGATTCATAGCACACATTTAAGTCCTCAGTTGATCAGTGGTTACAGAGACTACATTGCATAAGAGCTCAGAGGTGGGTGGTAAGAAATGGAGAGTTTCTGAGGGCCATGAAGAAGTGTCAACCCAATGTGACCATGCTTGGGAGAAAAAGCCTGCTTTAGAAAGCTGTGGGAACAACAAAGAGCCTCCCTGAGAACATACTCAGATGGGGAGAAGACTGAACAACTATACTAAAACAATGAAGTCTGGGAGATGCTGGTCTTTGTTTGTAAAGTGGGGTGAGTGAGAATCAGAAAGGAATGCTGAACCCCAATTACCTCCAAAACTGGGTTAGGAAAACAGCAGTGTCACAGGGTGCCTTAGCGGGGTGAGGCAGAGGGAAAAAATTCTGCCTTTAGCTATGTGTGGGGTTTCAACTGACACACTTGATTAGTGAGCATCGTCTCTTATGGAAAAGCTGCAGCATATTAGGAAGGAGTCCTTGCTCAGTCTCTCAGCTCTCCTTAGCATCATCACTGGGATGTAAATGCAGACATGGTGCTGATCACATCCCAGCTTGCTTTCAGCTGGTGAGAGCTTCAGATGTACCTGTTCATGTACACAAATGCCCTCTCCCCTCCCAGACATTCACACAGGGATTCCAGAATTATACTTAACTGCCTGATTAATTACTGGACCTCCATGGAAATTACTGTCAAGATTATACAATCATTCCATCTCTGGTTCTGCTTGATAAACATTTACAGTTTAACATATTTGACAAAACCATTTATATACCGCTATAATAGAAATGAAGGTAGATTAAAGCTACAATAAGTCTATGATATTCATAGCCTTAAAATAACTCACTAACTACAGACAGTTCCCTGAGCAATTACAAGATGTTCTATGTTAATTTAGAAAGGAATTCCAAACAAGCCATTTAAAACCTAATAAGATGCCATTAAATGAAGGGGGACAGGGGAGGGGGAAGCTAAAGAAAACCCTAAGGCTTGAACCAGTAGAAATGATTCTCGGAGCTACTGACCCTTGCAAGATCCATGTTTTACTTGGGTTTCTAGACACAAGGCATATTTCTAATTGAAGGTGATTATCTAGTTACTACGCCCCAAATTGCACACATTTTTTGTATTGGTTCACACCCACAACTAATTAGGTGGAGCATTTATCAATCTGAAAGTCCATGGAAACTGTTACATTGATCTACAAGCTACACATTAAAAAGGAGCACTGTCTGCTGGGAAGCGCTATCTATATACTGGTCCTGATGCCACCAGCCCCTGATGCTCACATGCATCTATGGGCTGAAATGTGAGGCTGATCCACTGGGGTGAATTCACAGAGAAGTCACAGAACAAATAATCTGGTTTGTTCTTGGGTTTTCTAAAGTGTGGACACCAATATGTATGGCAGCCATTTCCCAGAAATAGACACACTGAGACAGTCACCATCATCACAAAGAAGACACAAATAGCAACATACCATTCAAAAGACAGATTCCTAGCTAGCAAATTTTATATTCACACACTTCTGAACTCTACCAATCAAAGATGGGTAGATAGCCTGACTGAGGAAATAAAACAGTAAAGAATATATAAAGAGAGACTTCCACAAAGGCACAGATGCACCTCGATAAAATATAGCTCCCATTAGTTGGGTTAATTAAGATTAACACACAAGTCGTTGGGAACCCCCAAAGTAGCCCGAAAGGTAATTTACCAAGGAAAGACAAGAGTAGCATTCATTCCAAGTGACTCATTAACTGCATTGGCAGGCTGAGGCTCCTTCTTAACACTGGAATTGTCATAGCCAATAATCAAAATGGCATGTGACCAAATGGCTTACAAAAGGCAAACCACAACTTGCTTGCACAAAGAAAATATGCACGTGAACCTGATCATGTATGTTACAATAACTACCAAACACAGACACATGCAAAGGGTTTTCACTGGTGTTCATATTGCTTCCAGGGCAACGATAACCTCCATGCCAGTTGGACAAGTAGAGAAAACCCCGAACTCACTCCCACGGGAGAACTGTCTCACACAGCAGGAGGTTGTACTCTGGGTGTTCAGACAGCAAATGTGTGAAATCTCTTTTGGCTGGAAAAGCACCCTGCCCTTACCTCCAGCGTCATGTTCACAGTGCTGACAGCCACTTTTATTTCACCATCTGACAGCTCCTTTAGATCTTTCAAAATTGTTTGTTCAATACTTAAACCTGTGGATAACAAGAAAAAAACACTTTATACTTGGGATCCATTATAAAAATACATGTCAAGGGGTTATTTAAAGAATTTATCCTACTAAGCTCAACATTTATAGTATCATTTTTATCAGTAATAAATACATACTAAGTCAAAAATCACATTTGTGGTGGCATCTACATCGGGTCAGATGCAGGCAGGAAATAGAATTTACCCCTTCTGCTGCAAAAGGAGGTTCTTCATGGCAGGGTGCTTACAGAGGGGTGGTGGGATAAAAGAGAGAATGAAAGATGAATTGGCCAGAGACCAGCAAGGAGCAAAGGCAAGGGAGCTAGGACTAGAGAAAAGAACCTTCAAGGCCTGACATCACAGCAGGAGTGGAGTAGGAAAGAGGTGCACAGCCCTAGTTGCCTTCCTTCTGCCCTCACTACTCTTCCCATTGACCAAACAGAAGCCAGAGTCAAGGGAGGTTGGAACAAGCCACACTTGGGCATTGGCCTCCAGAGGCCCAGAGCAGGTCGGGTGGGGAAGGAGTGGGCAGTCTTACCATAAAAACTAGCCAAGTAATAGCCCAAAAGGTCCAAATTAGGTGACCCTCTGTAATTTTATAATTGCCAGTATAATTTTATATGAATTGATCTTTATAAATGTAGCTCATGAAACTATCATAATTGAGCTAGGTGTGGTGTTGAACATCTCTAATTCCAGGCCTTGGGAAGCACAGGCAAGTCAATCTCTAAGAGTTCGAGGCCAGCCTGGTCTACATAGAGAGTTCTAGGCAAGCAAGCCAGGTTGCATAGTGACACTTTGTCTAACACAAATGAAAGCCATCTTAATTGAGCTGGCCACCCCTGTAACAGTCTCTGGAAGTATGTGTTACTGAATTCCTTACTTGATGGCAGGAATAATCTAATGCTGTTGACAGAGTATTTCAATGAAATCTATCACAGGCACACAAGAACAGGTATATCTGAATGTTTAACTGGCCTTCTCTGTGGAAAGATTCACTGCAAAGCCATGCAAAGCACAGGCACGTTTTCTGGATGTTTATGAAGACAGTCTACTGCCCACCCTGCCCCACAGTCTACTGTCCATCACAGCAACCTGGGGAAACAGATGGCTACTTGACACTCTCATTTGACTCAGAGTCAACTGTGGCATGTTTTGATCTCTAGAGTACATTGTAACAACAGCAGCCTGGGGTGGTTGAGAGAATGAAGGGAGGCATACACCACTGCGCACCCATACATTGGCATGCACCCACACTCATGCACAGGTACTTAACTTTGTACATGGCAGATGCAGACAAGGCCCTGCCAACATCCCTAACCTCGTTTCATCTCATTTTGGCCAGCATCATACTCCACTGGAGATCTGAGATCTTTGCTGGCCACTAGAGCCTACTTGGAGGATTCCCTCTCCCCTGGACTAGGAAGCACTCACTATTAGAATAATCTGCTGATTTAACAACTAAACCTAGCTTATGGCACTTTGTTTCTGTGGTATTAACACACCGACCATGACTAATTTTAAACTGTTAACCCAATGATAGCCAACTTACAAAATTCCAAAAAGTTAACCACCAAGCCTTAGGACTAGGACAGCCTGTGCCCATCCATCACTGCACTCTATAGGGGACCAGGGAAAAAACTTTGTAATTTATTATTTTCCCCTTAAAAGCAGGCCTTCTGGGTTTATCTCCTACCCAGCCCTCTTGCCACAGCTGTGTATATTGGATGCATCTATCTATGGTTCAGTATTCTCATCTGAAAAGTGGGATATCCTGAGGCTTCAGGGAAGGTCACCCTTACAAAGTTAGACTCTCAGAACCCTGTGCAGATTAAACTCTCACTGAAACATAGTTGTTTATTATTAACAATAGTTGATCAGATTATCCACTGTCCCAAAAGCTTAGATTTACAGAACAATTTCATTGGCTTAACCATCATCTCTCCATTTCTTCTAATGAAATCAGAATCACAAAATCCAATTGTGTTTGGCACTGTCCCAGCAACATTTTCAAAACAGAACTTAATCAGCAGGTATAGACACCATATGCATTATTAGCCCATGGATGAGAGGACAGAGCCTGGGAAGGGGTTCCAACATCAGATGCCCACTTTTAGACCGATAGCACAAACCCAGAAACTCCTCCACTAGCACAGAGAAAGGGGGAAGAAAGTTCGAGCACACTCAGATTGACCTCCTGAAAAGACTCCACCTGCAAGCCACCCTCCTGGAAGCAGTGAGAGCTGGACAGTCACTCACCCTGAGCACTGAGCTGGGTCTCCTGCAGCACGCTGATGATATCATCTCTAGGAGGCAGATTGGGAAACTGTTCTTCCAGGATGGAGAGAATGTCCTCCTGCTTCTCTGGGAGCTCAGGATCCATGGTCATCCACTTGAACAGGATGCTGCCTGAAAGTTATGGATACAAATGCTCTTGAACTCTCTGTCCACAAGCCAAGACAGGAACAATGAAAATCAATGTCTTCATGCTACAGGTACTGCCGAGGGTTCCCACTCCAAGGATGCGGACCATGCCCGCTCAGATGCTCTCCAGGACCCCAGCAGGAAACAAGAGAGAGCCCCAAACCTAATCCTTATCACCTGTCACATCCACACCTGTGACCACACCCAAAAGGGCGTGGTCAGTGCTACAGGTGTGGAGGTGGATATCACTACAATTCCCCTTTTAGTCTAAAGAAGATTCAGGCTTGATACAAAACTATATACAAAGATAGCAAACATCAAGTATGCTCTAGGAGAAGGAAAGGTGAAATACACCATTTAAGACCTACTGCCAGTGAAGCAACATAGAAAAATAGGCATGAACTACATCCAGTCCCAGGGTAAAGGCATAACAGAAATTACTATGAAGTTGTCTTAAACTGGAAAGTTTATCTAGGAAGAGAGAACAATAATTGTGACAGTGTAATCAGTTTAAGTCTTGCACCTAATATTTCTATCTAGGAAGAGAGAACAATAATTGTGACAGTCTAATCTTCAACCTCATCGAAGACCTAAGAAGGAGGATGGTAGGAAGTGCAAATGAGTGACTTCCAAAAGGTTCAAACAGAAACAGAAACAACAAGTTACCTAGACAGTCACCCAAAGTCTCACAGCAGTGTAGGGGCAACCAGCTTTGGCTAAGGCCTAGAGTAACTGACTGACCACACAGAAACAGGGAGGTTGAAAGGCTGTCTTTCCCTGACTTGGCAAGGTTCAGCAGTCTTCTTTAAGTTTATCTCCTGCAAGCTCAGTTAGGACAGCATGTCCAAAGTTAGCAGTTAAGGTGGGGGCAGTTCTTTGCCCAAGAGGCCATTAAGTGAGGAGAGAATGAACGCCAGAAGGAGTGTCATCAGTGCCCAACCTACTCTCGGGAATAGCTCAGTGCCAACAGGAGCAATTGTGTCTCATGTCAATGGAGTACTAACATTAAAACATTTAAATGCCATATTCGGCAGGTCTATGAAATGTTTGAAGCTCAAATATCTATGTCTGACTAATCCCATAGATATAAGAAACTTGGGTAATTATAATCTGCACTACTCATAAACAGTTGTACAATGGCTGAAGCTTCCCAAAATACTTTAGCAAGGACAATGACTCCAAAAAAATGTAACTATATACACATATATAATTCTCAATAACAGAGATAGAACTGAAATGTCTTGAGTAGAGGTAGAACTGTAAAGTGCAACAAGGTGGATATCACTACAGTGCAGAGCAGAAATCCAGTGTTCCTGACTGCTTTTCTATCCAAGCAGTTGCCAATTCAGAAGTTGTAGCCACTAGACAGAGAAGCCTGTGGACCTAACAACAATGTTATAAGGCCTTGTAGAAAGCTGTCAGCGAGAGGGAGTCTTAACCTGAAGAGCTACCAATCTAGCTAACTGCTTGGTGTTATAAACAAAGTTTATGGGAACACAGCCATCCCTGATAATTTATAGAGTGTTTATAGGCAGGCAGGCAGGCGGGCAGGCAGGCACACACGCACACACCCACACACACACACACACACACACACAAGAGAGAGAGAGAGAGAGAGAGAGAGAGAGAGAGAGAGAGAGAGAGAGAGAGAGAGAGAGCCTGAAATATCTACTTGCTGGCCCTCTTTGGGAAAGATTTGCCATCTTCTGCCAAGGAGAAGGATAAAACAAAAACAGACCATCCAGTCCCTTCCACTCCTCCAGTTCCTCTGAGGTGTGAAAGGAAGTCCATGTCAGAGAAAAAGAACTCACCATCCCCTCACCACCTTGGTGCTGTCTGTAACTAATGTTCAGCCGTCACCCAAAGGGTACTAGATATAAGGGAGCTAAAACCAGGTGACTGGAAACTGTTGGGGGAAAAGCTCAGGAGAAGACAAATGGAGCAGATCCAGGAGTAATAAGTGAAACTAGCTGGAGAATTGGAATCTACATGCAATCCAACGAACATTTAAAACTCTGGTTTTAATGGCTGGGCTTAAGAATCCCAAAATGTTTTCCACAGTACATCAGATGTGATGGGGAACTGAAAACTAAGTCAGAAGAAAATATCCACACTGAAGCATGGAGACAAAAAAGTAGCCAAAACTCCAGAGAAAAGTTTAAGGACCTAAGAACATGTGACTGCTCCTGCCTGGAAAGGGAGAGAGAGGATTGTAACATTTAAGAAAAACTACAAACAAAAATCAGGGCTAACATAAAGTAAAACATCTGCAAGCAGGAAAAATGCTAAAAACTACATAGAAAAAGATTAAATCCGTGAGGGAGAAAACACACTACTACTACTACAACAAAACTGCATCGAAACAGAACCTGGTTTCTCAGTTAAAAGGATGATGTCAGAAGAGGGTGGGATTGTGTCTTCAAATGCAGACATAAGAAATCACCATCCTAGAGCCTTATATTCAGTGAAAATGTGGCTGAATAGAGAGACATTTCTAAGGAAAAGGCAGAAATATGTCACAAGAAATCCTACTCTGCAATAAACAAGAAGGCAAAAGACGACGATTTCAAACAGAAGCAAAACTAAATACCAGAAAGAAGACCATTCTGGAGATAGAAATATGTGGTCAGCATGAATCAGCATTTGCTGTATGAATGGTAATGGTATCTTAGAGAATTAGAGTAGATGCTGTTAAATACATTTCAATAGTGATGAGCTGAAAAATGGGTTAAGGAGAGAGGAGGAGGAGGAGGAGAAGAAGAGGGAGATGGGAGGGAGGGAAGGGAAGAAAGGATAGGGGAAACAGGAAGAGAGGGAGAAGTGAGGAAAGAAAATGGGGAGGGGAGAGGAAGGGGAAAGGGAAGAGGGGGGGAAAGGGGAAGAATTAGAACTGCCTTTCTTCTTATAAGGTGTCTGCAAAAGCCGTAAAGAATCTACCAGTGACATGAGAATAGTTAGTAAATTTAGGAATTTGTTGTCTAAGGTTAGTAACACAAAACTGTATTTATAAGAATAATCACAAGGGCTGGAGAGATGGCTTAGAGGTTAAGGGTACCGACTGCTCTTCCGGAGGTCCTGAGTTCAGTTTCCAGTGACCACATGGTGGCTCACAACCATGCGTTATGAGATCTGGTGCCCTTCTGGTGTGCAGATATACATGGAAGCAGAATGTTGTACA